GTGTGTGTGTGTGTGTGTATGTGCGTATGTGTATATGCGTATGGGTGTGTGTCTCTTCCTCTCCCTCTTACATATCCCACACACTCCTCCTCGTGCCCCCTCCCTTTTTTTTGGCTCCCCTCTTCTGCACGATCCCAGTTCCCTCCCCTCTCCAAACAATAAACAGCCTGAAAATGCGAAAAAAAGGGGGAAAACGCGGCAAAAAGCAATCTATGTGATTCACCCGGTGCACCGATTGGCGGGTGGCGGACGGGGCAGGCGCGAATATGTGCGCACACACGATCGTCCTTTGCGTCCTGTGTGCGTTTGTGCGTGCATGTGTGCTTACTCAGGGGGGGGGGGGGGGGGGGGCTCACCGGCGAAGCAGGCGCAGACACTGGGCCACCCCAAGCAGGTAGAATGGCTGCAGGAAGGTCTGCGAAATGATCGTGGCATAGAGGATGCGCGCCTCGCGACCCGCCGCCTGGACGATGGGGTTATCCAGGAGCGCGTCCAGGTGGCCGCTGAGGCCGGGAGGAATCCCACCCGGGGCGCCGACCTCCTCGGCCGCCACCATGGCCAGCTTCCCTCCACCAAGGCCGACGGCCGCCGGGTCCACATTCCGGCTCAGATCCCAGGAGAGATAGTCGCGCGGGATGCCCGGCAGGATGTACAACCCGGCCAGCACCGGCGCCAGGACCAGCATCGACACACCGCGGCGGATGACAATCAACCCCGACAGACGCTGGGCATTGGTGGTGGTGAAGACCGCCCGATACCAGGAGCCCAAGCGCGTGCGCGTGGCCGCCAGCAGATTGGCCTTGGTGCCGGGAGCCTGGGCATCGGCCGCGGCGGTGGTGGCCGTGGCCGCCGGCCCGAGAAGGCCCACCCCCGGGGCCGACTGCCGGGAAATGTGGCCGGCAATGCGGGTCGCGGCGTCGGCGACCGTGGTGCGCAAGCGCGTGAAGAGCGACGCGCGGGCGTCCCCCTTCGGCAGGAGGTAGGCCGTGGTGGCCACGGCCGACAGGGCCGTGACCAGGGTTTTGACCGAGAGCCGAGCCCCGATGACCAGCAGCGGGGCACCCACATCATACACGGAGAACCCATAGCGAATGAGGAGGAACCCCACCGACTCGTAGGCAATCAGCGAGCCAAGGATGATGGCCTGGTTGCGGGGCTCAAACATGGCCGGGAAGCGCTGACGCGCGGCCTTCACCGCCAAGCCGGTGGTCTGGGTAAAGGCACTGGTTAGGCCTGGGGGGAGGGAGGCCGCGCCGGTGGCCGCAGCCCTGGCCCCCGCCGCCGCCGGGGTCGGCCCCTTGCCGGGCCTCGAGTGGGGCGGCTTTGCACCGGGTGGCGTGGGCTTGCCCCCGGGCCGAGGAGGCCCGGGCCGAGCGGGCACGGTCGATCGGAAGGCGGCTCCCCCGAGCAGGGGCGACGAGCCGGGCCGCAAGGCGCGTGCGAGGGGCTGCACGGAAAGGCGCGAGAGCATGTTTCCTGTGGGGCTTTCTCTTTTCCTCCGTCTCTCCCTTGGATAGGCAAGTGGGCCGGGGACCGAAGGGGCGAAGTGGTGGCGGGGGGGGGGGGGGGGGGGG